GTTTTAATAAACTTTAAAATTTTGAGTTTATATTGAGCTAAAAGGTGTTCAGAGACTTTTAGCAGGGGTCTGTATTATGGTTTCAGCTTTTTTGTGTCCATATCATGGATTGTTATAACTATCTGATAAACAATTACAAGCAAACCCATATATCAGAAATAAAGAAGCTTTTATTTTTTGATCTATATAAAAAAATGGATATTGGAAGTCAGAACATATGTTAGATCAGGTTTGAGTTTTTTTTGTTCATAGATCTAGATTAAAATGTAGAATTTAAGAAAGAATTATTAAAATATCTCCTCATTATTTAGCTTGTATATCAAGCAATTCCAATATTTGAAATATTACATTCTGAATGTATTGGTATTTTTTGCTTCAATTAATCAACAAACCATAATGCTATAACAGCTGATACACTTATTGCAATGAAAATGAATTTAGGTTCTAAAAAAGTATAGCCTAAGTTGCGTAATGATTGGTATATTAATGAGAATGGTAAGAGATTTGTACAATCGATGATATTTCCAGATAATCATTAATTGAAAGGACAACCAAAGGGTATTAAACAAGTACTTAAAGAACATAATCTTTGGCCAACAAACGGAATCTGCCTAATATGTGAGCAATATTCTGAAAAATATGATGATGTTAATTCAGAGAGATTAGACTATTATATATGAAAAATAATGTTATTGCAATCTGATTTTTAAGAATAATAGTCAATATTAGAAGAAGCAATAAATAAAGCAGGACACATTTTTGAACATTACCCAAAATTCCATTATAAATGTAACTTTATAAAGTAATATTAGGGTTTTGTAAAGCGGGAGATCAGATAGCATTGCAGTTATAGTATTGCAGATTTAATAAAAAGAGTTCCAGAAGTTCTTGTGAGTATCTCTATATCATCTATTCGTAAGTTTGCATGCAAATTATAGAGATACATAGATGTATACTATAAAGGACTGGAAGGTAGAACTGCTGAATAAGCTGTTAATAAATACAAATCACATCGTCGATTACCTGATAACATTGAAAGATTAATGGATTAATGGATTAATAAATTGTAGTTTTATCACCTCCAATTAATGACAATAATTTTTTCATCTTTTCATGAATTAGTAATGAAAGTTTGGTATTTGATATGAAATATTATATGCGCATATATACGCATATATACATATAACGTGCATATCGAATAAAAAGATTTTTTTGTTACGCAAAAATTCTCATTTTTTATTGGCCAATTGTGTATCACGTGATATAAATTCTGCGCCAGAAATTTGAAACATTATCACGTGATTGTCGAGTATAGGTTTCCCGCACCATAAAAAGATTTGAATTTAAGTTTTTAAATAATAAAAATATATTATTTTATTATTTTAAAGTTTATAAATTTATTTATATATTTATTCAATAAATTATAAATAATTATTTATAGTTTAACAATAATTTTAATTCTTAATTTAATATTAAAGAATCATAGTATTTAGTTAAATAAAAATAATATTAACTAAAAAGTCTATTCTCTTTTTTTACATTTTGTCGTATAAAAAAGATTGAGAAGATTTGATATAGGGATTTAACGGATGAATAGTATAAATTGCCTTTTCATGAATCGATAAATCATGAACAGAAACAGATTTTTCCAAATTTGCAAATTTCGACTCATCCACAGCATCAAATTGATCAGATAATTCAGACGTATTTAGATCATCATAGATTGCGGATACCCAATCTCCAAAACCTTCGTAAAGTTGATAAGCTGTTGGCCTATTTGATGAATTGGCATCTAAACATTCAAGCATTAATTTAGAATAAACAGGTGGAGTTCCTTCTATAACACTTGGTCTTAACCTGAAGCAGATTTCTTGAACAAGTTTTATATCATAAGGACGTATACCGGCTAATAACATCCAAATGATCATGCAAAAACTGTAAACATTAGATTCTTTTGTTGGCGTATTTCCATTAAAAATTTCTGGTGTAATGAAAGGTATTACTCCATGGATTTGTTTTGATAGGTTATCAACCAGACCGTGCAAACCACTGTCCGCGATTATAGTATCTATTGAACTTGCCTTTCGTTGGTGTATTTCCATTAAAAAGAGCTCCGTAGTTACGAAAGGTATTGCGCTATAAATTTGTTTTGATAGGTTATTTACTAGACCGTGCAAGCCATTATCCGCAATTCTAGTAACTATGGAATCTGCTTCGTTTTCAACTAATACTATATCTCTCCAGCAAAAAAGCCCGATAGATTGTTTAAGATATTCATATAAATCTCCCTGTTCATAATATCTCATAACGAACATATAACATGAGGTTGAATTCTTAGTCATACCAAAACAATCAACCAAAGCGCCATTTTGTAAACATCGGTGATATCTATATAACTTTTTAGTGAAAGTTAAAATAAAACAGAAAAGAGTAAATATTGTGGGCACGATTTAATCTAACTATTATAATGGAAACTTTGAAAGTAAATCCTTTAACATTATTATATACAGATCTAGGAGTTATCACGTGAAGATATCATCTTTTCTGTTCAACCAATCAGAATAATGTTCGTTTGCTACTAAAATCAAGTAACAAAATAGCAATCCTTATTTCATTTCAATGATCAAATCAATCACTTACTTGATTAACAAATTCTTGACTTATATTTTGTGAATTATCTAATCGCTTTAATATAACTTTTATTAGTCCGTTACTCCCTCATGTTTTAGCCACTTCATCCAATTTCCATTTTGGACCTTCCATCCATGTTGCGGAATAAATTGTGTTAAAGGCTCCTCCTTTATTCGTATATTCTATAAGATCGAATTGTTCAAATTCAATTATTTCCAAGTAATCTACATATCGAGTTGCATTTAATTGAGTATGCTTAATAAAATTATCAATATTAAGGTTGCCACTTGTCTAATTGTTAAAATTTTCTTTAAAACCATTACTCTCACAATTTTGACACCATCTTACACTGATTTGTTCTTCACCATATTCTAAACATATTCCAACATTTTTTCTTTTTAATTCTGATAAGACTAACTACAAAGATTGAAAATAATTTAACGAACTTATTTCAGGTGGCATTATATTAAATGTAACACTAATATATATGCTAATAATAATAATAACTATATCAGTTTTGTTAGATTTGTTAGCTTTATTCGATCTATTAGTTTTATGACAGTTTCAATATTTTTCCTTTAAATTTTGGTCTCCTGACCAAATTGTCATTGCTTATTTAATAAAATAAATAATCCACTTTTTTCATAGAGTAAATTTCTGAGAGACTAAAATATCTTATTTGTTAAATTTATTTTACTTCTAGGAATTCGAAGAAAAAATAAGTTTGTACTGAAGCAAGATAATAGTATTTAGTTAACAACTTTTTAAATAAGTTCGTTAAGTAGGAGTGTGGGTTTCTTTTCTAAACATTATCCTAAATAGAAAGCATTTACTATTATCAATATGATGTCTCTAAGAATTAAAGATCTTAGGGTGAACATTTTTAAAGGCATTTCACTGTAGATCAGTTTTAAAATCTTCTAACGATATAGTAAAATCTAAATAAAAATAAATCAAAAGTGATTAGCATTTATTGATTTAATAAAATTAAAATTTCAGAAGTGTAGAGTAGGCAATACTTGATCATTTTTGCTTAATTAAAGAAACTTCTACTACCATTTTTTATAATAGTTTATAAACGTAAAGAACTGAATACAACAATATTGAACTTTTAAAGAAATATGAAGTACTCGAACTATCTTAGGAGTAGAAATGTCTATGAGATTTTAAATATATTAGTATGGACAAAAAGAAGTATGGATATTGATACAACTAAAAAAATACTTACTATAAAGTACAATTTGGTTTTCGAATTTTCCAAATCAGTCTCGTGTTATAAATATTATTTCTAGTTTAATTATATGATGAATATAGGCAAAATGAATATTGCTAGAGAAATATTTATAATTTTTTTTTTCGATGAGGATCTAACATTATATATGTTCAATGATTTTTAAAATTTAAATTATTTAAAGGTTTCAAATTTCTAAATTTCACGTGAATTTTATAGATTAAAAAAAAATCCGATACATGATGTAGAACAGATTTTCTTGTTTCATTAATAAACTCCTTTTTTGAGTTGTGATCAAATTTTATAGATTCAGCACGTCCGATATATGTAACGGGATATTCCAAGATATATGATACTTTTTTGTAAATGATCGATAAAGAATCGGCACATGAGCCACAGACAATTTTCTACGAAATTACTTTCTTTTCGAAATTACACCTTACTAAACTTCACTTGAACCTTTAAAATATTTAAATAAGTGTGTATTTCTGCAAGTTTACTTAGAACGTCAAATAAGGTTTTCATAATAAAATTTAACTTAACCGCATTTTTTTTTTGTGAAATGCGCCACATACATTAAACCATATGGGACCTTTGCAATAGAAAGGGTAGGAAACAGCTGGAAAAAAATCAATTTTACTTTTATATGCCATTTCCCCCTTTCCCATATAATCAGTAAATGCTGTCAACATTTCGGCGTATATATTAAATTATTCCCACGGTTATTACGAAAAAAAATATCACATATTACCCTAAAGTTGGTTATATAATCACAAATCGATTAGTCTGACCGAAATTATTTTTTTCCTAGGAATGAACTAATATACAATAGAAAAGTTTGAAAAGTAGCGTATTTTTGAATTGCCTTTACAATAATCAATTTCATAATATCACAGACAGTCCTTTTGTTTTAGAATTCACATCATCTATTTCATTTATTCCTAATATGTAATAATCTACAAAAAAGTTTAAAAAGAAAATCTGTCCCAATATGTAATCTTAAAAGAATTTTAAAAATGATCGATGATGGCCTTGCTGGAATCATTTTTCCTATAAGAATACTCGAATTGTGAAAATCTAAGGAAATTTATTTTTTCGCTCTCCCATAGAAAGTATACATAAAGACCAATAAAAAAAAATGAGTAGGGTCAGAACTATTATTGCTATTATAGCAGTCTCCGTTTCACTTGTAATTTTGTTATTAAATTATACGAGTGCAAAAGTGGACGTCGATATACCACAAGACAATAATACTCGCACTGGATATCCCGTTTGGTATCCTCCTTTTCCAAGGCATTATGGTCAAGATCAATATGCAACAATCTTTGCCTCAATAATATTGATGAGAATCGGTGGATATTATGCATACAAGTGAACATTGTTTGATATAAAAATGGACGAAGAGTTGGTAACATATTTGGTTGATAATGCCTTCAACAAAACTACCTCCATTTACTTTGATCAATTATTAGCTGCATACTCATTAATTACGGGCTTAACAGGAATTGCATACCTCGCATTTGATCTTGGTAAAATGTAGTCTACAGTTAGAATGTTTCATAATGGTTTAGAAGTTGTGATCTTAGTTGCTTTACATCAAGGAGGAAGAATCGTTTCAAACAAATTTTTAGCTTGGATGATTCTTTACTTTATATCCACCTTAGGTTTTAGTATCTTTTTAGATTGGCCTTATGACACCGTTTGGTTTAAGATGCAGGGTCTTTGTCAGGATTTTACATTGGCGATTACATTTACACGCATATATTTTGACACGCATAATGGTTATGGAGACGAAACTCATCAGCGTCTTTCTGATGTAGAAAGGCCAAGAGAATACAATCATATTAAGGAATATACTTTTGGTTCTGTTTCACGCTTCACTCCTAATTTCGTTCTATTATTGGTGTTGGCTTCTTACACCCACATTTTAGGAAATGTTTATGCAACTATTTTGTATACTAAATATTATTTGTATCTCGTACTTTCCTTTACCTATTGTATCACTTTCCCTATCTACTGTTATTTTGTTTACTTGGATACTCATTCGATTGCGACCCCTCCGTCTCAAAAATACATTATATTACCTGATACCAGTAAACCAAAAGTTGTTCTTATCACTTTATCTGTTCTTTTCCTTTTCTTCTTATGCACTAAATTATCTTTATACTATCAGAGTGACGATTAATTAGGTTATGCTTTTTTTCCCTTCTTGATCTTTAAATAACTATTATTATTATCATTATTTATGTAACCAACATTATAAGACGAATAAAGAAATGTTTTTTACCACGACTTTTTGTGAATTGGTCATTGATTGTTACATAGAATTTGAAATATGTCATGATTGTTATATGCGCAAAGTATTATTTTAGGGTTTATAATAAATTAATATAAGTCGTGTGGTTCCAATTTTCTTTAGCTCTCGTTAATGAAAATGCCATATTTCAATTAAAGATTGTATTGATTTAAAAAAAGTAAATACAAATACTACTAAAATACTTGTAAAGATAAACGTAATATGGCAGAACCTGAGATCCGGATTTTTGAGATAACCTTTATATTTTTCCTTAAAACATGAGACACACGATCGTGATTGACTAATGCATTTCCAAATTTGTCTAGCAGATACAAATTCCAGATCAAAATTATCTAGTCTTTACTTATGATCAAAAAACAAATTAAGTACTCAAGTAAGTTCATGATATCCTTTCCTTTCACACAAGTAAACGTTAATATATATTTTCTCCTATTAGAGTACTGGAAGAGATGTCCTACACTATAGGGAAGTATAGTAGATTGGGATCTTTATTTTATCAATGAAATGCCTAATTTGTACTGTGAGGATGCACATAAAACACTGACGGGTGAACTTGAAATACTTCTTAAGCACTTTATTAAGGATAGTTGTGAATGGTTTAAAGCGAAAGCTATCAGGAAACAGTTAAAGGTCTGTTTTTATATCTGTTATATTGAGATTGCATAATCGTACCCTGCGATTTCTGCTAATTGACGGGCATTCCTCTGCTTGCCTGAGGTAGGTAGCATGTTATGGTCTGGACTTAAAGGTCTCACTATGACATGTGTGACTACGCAACCAATTTGATATTTATCATCTACTATATTTGACATCATCAACTTACAGTTGCTTCTTTTCTGGTCCATTAGCTAAAAAAAAACAAAAAATATTGTGGTCTTGTCGATTTTGGAGGAGCATCAAGAAGGATTATTGAAAGCTACTATCGAAAATAAGATCAATGAAAATATTAATAAGGTATTACTTGGTTCTGATTGGATTTGCTATATATCTTTCCTTTCTTATTATACATTATAATTATTAGCGTAAAATCAAGCAAGAAATGCTACAAGTGTGACAGCAGAAGCTTATTACGCAACGAATGATTACGAGATTCCCAAACGTTCCCGAACAGATCATAAAAACTTGGTATATACTCGCATTTTTTTTTTGTTAGAGTTGCAAGATTTGGCAAAACTGATTATTTTGTGATTTAATACTTTATGGTGATTGCGAACAATTTCAACAGCCACGATCTCCAGAACGACATATTATGCCAGAAGTTGACGAAAAAGAATGTTTTCTTTATGATACTTTTCAGTTCACATTCATAAACGACCTGAACCAAATCCCTTTCTAGTTAGAAATAAGCGTGAACATGATATAGAATTTAATGCAAATTTAACTATTGTCGGTGGAAAGAGTATTGAATTGATACAATTATTAGTATGAGAAAAGAAAATAAAGAGATCTCAGTAACCGAAGTCAGTGAACCCAATGAAAAATGATTGGGCGCACTTCAAGAGTGATCGTATGAAGATAATGAAGATGTTAAAAACTCTAATAAATCAATATGCTAAACTCAATCCAAGCTCAGACATAACATTAATCAAATTATATGGGTTACAAGTCTATTGTAAGTTTTTTTAATATTATTTTGCAATTCATTGTTATTATGCACTACTAACACTTTTGTTTTTATAGTAAATGAGTTGACCATTTACGAATTCCAATTAAAATACACAGAGATTTACACTGCAGAGGCGATATTAACATTTTCTCTACCTAAAACATGGGCAGATATATACTTGTTACCCAATACTATATGGATATGGGATAAAGTCCCAATCCCATCCCATCCCATTCAAACAATATCATCATAATTAATGATAATAATTTAATGATATTTTAGTTTATTAGCTTCATCTTTATGAGCAGATTCAAATGATTATTATTTTATTTTTGTAAGTGAGATATTGATTAAAATATACTTAAAAATATATTATAAATTAAATGGGATTTGGGATTTGGGATTTGGGATTGGGATTGGAATATGGGATATGGGATATGGGATTTTAAATATAGTATGAAATATGGGATTCTATAGTATAAGGTATGGGCAGCAACTATAGGCAGATATGGCGAAGGCTGATAATGCTGTAATTAGCTTGTTGCATTATGAGATTCGTATAGATGGATTTCAAAAAAAAAAAAAACAAAAACCTGTACATAAAAAATTAACATTTTTAAATTAGCGTCTTTTATCTGAAATCTCAAGATCTGTACGAGATTTTTTATGGGTCAATGATTATAAGGTTGAAGCTATTAAGATGACAACACGAATAATAAAGCATTGAGAAAGCCAAAAATACTAAAAATATCAGGAAAATGAAGAAAACGAAGAAAACAAATAAAGTACGAGTCAATTGAGATCAAATGGTAGAGTGTTTTGTTTATTTTGGAATGCGTGATGTTTTTTTATGTTTTATTTCTTATTTTTAATGCGTGATGTTTTTTTATGTTTTATTTCTTATTTTTAATGAGAATGGGAAATAAAAACACTTATTTTGTAAAATGTGATCAAAAAACAAAGAGATGCAATTTGAGGAACATTGGTGTTAAAAATAAAGTATTTTAACAATTTTATTAAAATTCAAAGACATTTCTATTCTAATAAAATTTTTTCTAATTTTACAAGCAAATATTTCATTGAAAAAAAAAAATTACTGCTTTATATATTTTAATTATAATACAAATTATCATACATAAAATTTTTTCTTGTATTATATATATCTTTTTAATTAGTAAATTATTATTCAATTAAAATTTTAATTTTATTTATAAAAGATAAGTGTTTTTAGTTTTTTTTTTCTTTAATTTTCCTTCTTTTTGATTTCTTTTTTAGAACTTGTCTTGAAATGACTGGTTTTCGTTATTTATAAATCGAAATTCTTTTTTTAATTAAATTTTTTCTTCTAATTTCTTTTTTTCTGAATTTTTTTATTTAAATTTACCTTTGTGCTGATTTTATTATTTATAAAAAATAAGTTTTTTATTAAAAATTTTTTTTTTTTTAAAATTTACTTTTGATTTTCAATAAATTTTTTTCCTTTTTGATTTTTTTTTTTTTTTGATTTTTTTCTTAAAACTTATTTTTGATTTTCAATAAGTTTCTTTAATTAAATTTTTTTTTTTTTAATTTTTTCTCTTTAATTTTTTTCTTAAAATTTAACTTTATTTCTTAATAATTATTTTTAATTGAATTTTTTATTATTTATAAAATGATAAAATTTTTTTCTTTTTTAAAAAAATGTATTTATAAAGATTTAGTTCTAAAACTGATATACAATTAATCCTTTTTATAGTCACACTTCTCAAGACTAAAAAAAATGATATAATTATAAAAATCCTATATAATGTGACTAAAGAGAAGTTTTTTTAATTAATTTTATTAGTAACTTAGATTAATATAAGTATACTTATAAAGGAAATATGATTATATATAAGTGTGACTATAGAAAAGATCAATTATATATAATAAAATATCTATTTATTTAAGTATATTTATTATTAACTTTGATTTTATTTATATTATATATAGTTAATATTACCTATTTTTGATTAATTTTAAAATTTAAAAAATATATAAATAATTATTTTATCAATTATTTCCTTTGTTTATTTAATAACTAATAAATAATTATAAAAAATTCAATAAAATTTATTTGAAATTTTATTTGAAGTATATAGTAGAGATTAGAATTGGATTTATATTTTAAATCTAAATTGGATATAATAAATCTAAATTCTTTCATTTTATCTGAATATAATAAATCTGATTTCTTTGTTTTATAAATTTGATTTCTTTGATCAATCCAGTTAATTTAAATAATGATTCTAAAGTTTAAATGCTATTCCAATCATATAATTTCACAAAATTTGTATTGAAGATCTTAATAAATTAATTTTTAAAAAAACTGTTAACCTTTTTTTGTAAAAATTTAAATTCATATAAAAGAAGGAAATTATTTATGACTTTTTATTCAATATAATCTCTTAAATTTAAATGTAAACTTTTAAAAATAATTATCCTTTTGACTTCTTTTTCAAGTTACAATATTTGACACTGAATCTATACTTATATGTTTATTTATAAACACTATTAATAAATATAAAATATATAAAAATAATTTGGTGATATACCTTTAGATAATAATAGGCTATTAGAAAGAAGTAATAGAAGTTATATTTTCTATTTTTTCATAAAGATTCAAATAAAAATGATATAATTTATTGTATAATTTGTGAATGTACTAGTAAAAAATCCTATCCCTATAGTTAAAAAGGTAGATTAAACTTTAAATCTATTCTATTATTTATGAGATAAGTATTAAATAACAAAATTTAATTTTTTAGAAAATTTAGATACAAATGATGAGGTAAATTTATAAAAAATTTGCATATACAGTCAACTCTTATTATAACAAATTCTATGTTATAAACCTTAACTATAAGGCTATAGTAAAGAATTAATTAGCCAATTCATTATAATAAGAATATTTTTATTATATTTGTTTAAAAAATTTATTATATCAAGAGTTTGTTATATCAAAAGTTAACTGTATTATATAATTAAATTTATAAATATTCATAATCTAAAATATTTAAATTTTATATTTGCCAAAATAAGATTAAAGGCAATTAATAAATTATTAATGTAATAAAGCTTAGCAGTAAATACTTGTACGTCTTTTAATAGTTTTTATTATTAAATTTATCTAATCTTTGTATATTCTTAAAATGATGTTTTTCACGAATTTATTCACACTTGTAAACCTAGATTTGCAATTTTTTATGAAAAAATCACAAAGAATTTAATTTATAAAATATATATTTAAAGCAAAAATCAGCTTATCAATTTACTTAAATATACAATTACATCGAATTTATGTTATTACAGATCTTTGGACAGCAAAAAGCAATCATAAATATATCAAAATAATAGTAACTTGACTTACTTCTGATTTTAACTTTTATAAGGTCTTATTTACTTATAATTATTTAGAATATTATTACACTTAAAAATAATATGCAAAAATGATTTTTTTTATAAGTGCGATAGTCTTGCATAATCTTTATTAATATTTATGAATTTACAAGAAAAACAAAATAAAACAGAAAATATAAAAATATCTATAAACTAATCTAGTAAACTAAATTATTTTATTAATACTAACCTTGTATTTTACCAAACTAAACTATATATCAAAAAAGAAAAAAAAACTAATATAAACTAAAGTACAGATATCAAACATTTAGAAGAAAGAGCGTGGTTACTGCTGTATCAGAAATTTGACCAATGAGTACTATAGGCAATAGCTGCTATGAATGATAAGAAAATTATTAGGGTGTTTGTACTGAATAAAAGAAATCAGAGGAAACCCAGGCTACAGTGAAATCATCTTTAATATTATTTAACGTTTTTCATAATTGTAATAAATTAACATCTTTTCAACCAAATATCGTAGACTGATGAAAATATATCATTAAATAAGGATGATAGTAGCTTAAGGATAAGTTGTTTATTCATTGTGATAGCATTGATTGATAATGTGAAAGATAAAGGAATTATTCCTTTTAAAAGATTGATAAATTATAATCTCATATTGGAGACTGATCCACATAGATAATAGGTGTATCATTATTAAGTCTATTAAGTTCTTTTAAGTGAAATATAAATGAATATTTGTGCTCTTGAATAATGGTTTTAAGAAGTTTAGTATTATTAGGACAATCTAAATGTTATCAAAATCTTCAGTAACTGAGCAGTACTAAAACAGTTTTTTAAGATATAAGTCTAAGGATATTAAGCATTCATTATTGTCATGGTGAGGAATAGTTGTAAAAGTAATTTGAGTTTGAACTGTTTTCTTTTACAAGTGTCAAATGATGTAACCCTAATATTTTCTGAGTCGTTAAGAACATAAAATAAGATTTGCTAATTAATATTAAAATTGCTATACTTAGCAAAATGTGAAAGAGTCAGAAAAGCTTCAGCAAAGAGGCTTATTGCAGATATTTGACAAATAAATGGAGAGGTATAATAATTGGTGTACTATTATAACATAAAATATATTTAGGACTCAGGTATTTATTATTAATGTATATATGAGTACTAGTAACTTGTTTAGCTAAGAGGTTGACTTAATTATTGAATTGATAATTTTCGTGAACTTTGACTTTAGTAAATATTAAATTAATATTGTGTGTGATTATGAGGTGCAACATAGTTATCCAAATATGAAAGTAAGAAATCTTGAATACAGGATCAAGGAAGGAAAACCTTGCATAGCTTGATGATCTTATTATATAATGTGATTGCAGTTTGTGAATCAGTATAGATTTTAATGAGCATTATGTGATAATATATAGACAATAGCGAGGATAGTAACTATCTCTGCCAATGTTAAGGAGAGAGTGTGTGATATAAGTGTGACATTAAATGAGAGTAAAGGCTAATTCTGATCAGTCTATAATCACGCGATATCTATTTAGCAATTAGAAGATCCTAAGGATATAAAAGTACTATCTATATAAAATTGGAAAAAGTCAGTGTTAGTAAATTGTATTTTAAGTTGATCTAATCTATTAATTGAAGTTTGGTCAAAGGAGAAAATCATTAAATTAGATAAAAGTTTAATTGGATATTGATAAAAGGAGGATAAGGTTGATAAAGCTAATTCTTAAAGTGCAAGGTAAAAAAAAGGCTATACTACCATCCTTCACGAGATTTGTGAAATACTTTAAACACAAAATAATATGTCTTTAGTAGTTTGATAATACAGAAATTATGTCTTTGTTGTTATTTGTACAGGATAAAAGC